GATCCCTCAAGAGTTTATTAATTTATAAATATTGTGTCCTATCAAAATGAGCACTTTTATTATCTTGCTTGTCTAAATTGTATGCCCCATATCGTTCTCAGTTATAGGAACCATAAATCAAAACCATTCAAAATTTATAATCTTGGAGTTCATTACCTGTGATTGTTATTACTTTTCTGCCTTTTGCTGGCCCATCTTTATCCCCAACAAGAAATATTGCAACATAATCTAAATACCATCCAACTAATAAATGTTCAGTATAAAAAAAAGATCAAATCCTAAAGGACACCCCATTACTCCTCCTCATCAACACTGTGAGCATGCTTCCCCCAACAGCTGGGAAACAGAGACTCTGGAGAGCAGGGCATTAGGACTGCACTGTGGGCCCAGACGGGAAAAGTTATCTTCACACCCTGTATACGGAGAGCAGGAGATGTCATTATACCAGCCCACTTTATCAGGAACAGCTTCACATCAAGGAATAAGGAAGGATATAGTGAATTGCCTTGAAAAGTAAAGAGACATCCATGGTTGTAAATTCTGTGCAGAAATCCCCACAGCATGTAGGTGGAGGATGATCTCCTCTTTTTCCATGACTGTTCAATGCTGAATGCTAACATTGGCAGTCAACTTGACTACATCTGCAATGAACTAAAACCCAAGGGGCTAGGTACTCCTGGGAGGGATTTTCTTGACTGACCATTTGAAGTGGAAAGATCCGTCCCAAATCTGGGCCATATCTCCTGGTTGAAGCCCAAATAAAAGGTCATAGAGGAGGAAACTTTTTTTTTCTGTCTCCTTGTCTTCACTTTTGCTGGTATCCAACTATCCTGTTGCTAAGGCATTCCTTAGCTGGTATCAGAACCTATTTCTTTAGGACTCTAAGACAAACTGGAGAGCAGTAACTCTCTAGGAATCCTCCTGGACTCCAGGAGCAGAATGGGACTGCTGAGACATCTAATGGCAATCCCCAGTCTGTGGCCTATAAGCCACTCTAATAATCCCCTTTTTACTCTCTCTCTCTCTCTCTCTCTCTCTCTCTCTCTCTCTCTCTCTCTCTCTCTCTCTCTCCATCAGTTCTGCCCCTTTAGCGAACCTTAATTAGCACAGGCTCCTTCATTTGGAAGAGAAAATAAGTGTACATTTCTGACAGTAGGAACATGTGACATGTGCATCACCGAAGGGTCTGATAAAAACAGAGAGGTACATACATAATGGCTTTTGTTGTGATTGCTTGTATCACAATCTAATGGGGAATGGACTTCTGTATATCAGTCTTTATGGGTACAGCATACCATAAAGCCACATCATAAGAATGACAGCTTTTCAGAGAGACTGAAATTGACAAATGTGTACTTAAAAATAGGTATTCCCATCCTGGCCAAGTCATCTAATGCAAGAAGCTTTGTATCCGCTGCATGTGCTGACCCTTGGGATCAAGCTTCATAAAGACATAAAAGTACCTGCTATATGTCACAGTACAGAGATTTCTCTCCCTCCTCTCCTTATTCGGCTTCTCATAGCTTTGGGTATGACTCGGCACAGGCCAGAGATCACAAGGGGGAAGAAAGAGAAAGAGAAGCAGGTCAGAGGTCAGCAGGGCACAATTTATTGCCACTGTTTAAAACATTCAAAAGGTTCCAACTTCCAGCTGCACATCACCTGATATCACAGAGTCTGTGGGATTCATGCAGAGTCTAGCTAATATATATATATATTTAAAAATACAGGTTTTAAGAAGTTGGTGTCTTCTTTAGGGTTTTTATTGCTGTGCTAAAACTTAACAACCAAAAATAATTTGGAGAGGAAAGGGTTTTCTCGACTTATTTTTCCACATTACAGATCATCATTAAGGAAGTCAAGGCAAGAACTCAAGGCAGGAACTGACTCAAAGGCCATGGAGGAATACTGCTTCCTGGCTTGTTCCTCATGGCTTTCTCAGCCTGCTTTCTTCTAGTACCCAGAATCACCAGCCTGGGGGTGGCACAGCACACAGAGAGCTAAGCACTCCTACATCAACCACCAATCAAGAAAGTGCTCCATGGGCTTGTCCATGGGGAATTCTGGTGGGGGCATTTTATCAGTTTAGGTTCCTTCTTCCCAAGAGACTCTAGTATGTGTCAAGTTGACAGAAAACTAGCCAGCCAAGTTGCATATTAGAATACAGAGAAAACCATAGTAGTAGCTATTAATCATTGGAATGAAATGGCCATAACTACACAAGTGAAGCTACGACTTAGAATCACCTAAGAAATAGACTCAAAAAATATTTTAGGAATTCCATTGAGTCAGGGACAGCTCAGTTGGTAAAGTGGTTGTTGCACAATCATGAGAGCCTCAATTTGATCCCCAGACCTCTAATCCTAGTACTGGTGAAGCAGACAGGAGGTTCCCTGGGGCTTTCTGACTCCAGGTTAATGAGAGATCCTGTCTCAAAAACTAAGGTGGAAGGACTAGAGAGATGACTCAATGGTTAAGAGTACTTGCCACTCTGAAAGATTTTCAGAGGACCAGAGTTCAGTTCTCAGTACCCACATCAGGCAACTCACTACCACCTGTAACTCCAGCTCCAGGGGATCTGACACCCTCTCTGGCTTTCATGAGCACTGACACAC